AGTAGATTAACATCAAAAGTTTCAAAAAAAACGAAGTGGTCGATTTTTTTTGTTGTTTGAATCCAAATGGAAACTACCATAAATAAGACTTGAAGTCATGTGGAGTACTTTATTATTATTAGGCACTAGCAGAAACCGTCCCTAATAATATTACATTCATAGCTGTTTTAATGAAAGAATACTCTCGAGAGCTACAAAAAAGTCGTCCAAATTGAACTACTCTAAGTAACCCACACGAAATAAATACGAAATATATGATATTAGATACAAGGGACTTGCAGTTCTTCCGTATCATTTGAAAACATACCTATCCCTACCGACGCAATTGTTACATGTAGGGACGATCACCCTGTATCATTTCCACGTCGGCAAGCGAGCTGGGGGGCGCCGTAACCGAGGACGCGCCGCCAGCCGGATGTGGAGATGTTTTTCAATTTTATTATAATGAGGCCTCATTTGGAGCTAACGCCGCCTATTATGATAAGAGATTCAATAAAGCAAAAGTGTCAGGCCGACAAAATAACGCGCGTAAACACCCCCTGCGCCTCGATCGTCTTTGTTCTTCTCCACTTTCTGAATTTTAGACGGTGCATTTGAATAAATTGACTAACATAAGTTTTTTATCGTTGATTTTGTCAACAGATTATGTCTGTGTTCCGCGTTCCGCGACCGGTTCTTTTATTTGCCGAGAACTTTTTATTTTGTTGGAAACGAACCCTAAAAGGGGAAGCCAAGATAAAAACACCATACAGGGTGACCAAAATCATTTTGCACCGTCTTCTACGATTTTATTTGATTCGATTTTTTTTGTATATAAAATTATATCAACCTGATTTTTAACAGCACATCACCGATAAAAATTGTGGAAATTTACACTGACTTTTATCCGAGATAACTCGTATATGAATCTTATGACTAATTTTAAACAAAAATGATGAATAGAATCAGTTTTACTTAAAATTAGTCATAGAATTCATATAATTGAGGTGATAAAATTTTTAGGACTGAACATAGACAAATATCTGGATCGGAAAATGCACTGTAAGTTATTAACTAATAAGAGTTCCTCTCTTACTTATTTATTTCGAAATTTAAGGCCGACATTAAATATTGAACAACTTCTCTGCGTATACAATAGGCACAAAAATTAAGGGATATTAAAAAAATCCCAAAATTTTGGCTGCTTTTCAAAGATCTGTAATTTGGAGGGAAATAGTCGTAGAGAGAATAAAAAAAGAGGAAAGTGAAGGTTCAAGTATCTAATTTCCGGATCTGGAGTTTAAAATTTATTATCGTCTGCAGTTTTTGAGTAATCATAAGAAAATCAACGAAACAAAATTGCAAATTTTTGTTTTTCTTTAAAAAGGCCTTCAACAAATTTTACTTGGTAATTTCACCATAAAGCTCTTTTAGATAATTTAATTATCTTCAATTTGAGTGGTTCCGGAGCTTTGTACGATGATTTGTCCCCGAATTATCGTCGATCAAAGCAAAAAAATCATTTTTGACTTTGGCAATCAATTACTCGGGAAATAATGGTCGTACAGAAAATCCAAGCTGGGTTTTTAAAACTGCAAAGTATTCTTTACAACTCGTAATTATTGGTTTTTGATGAAAAAAAACTTTTCGAAGTGAATATGTTGTAATAATAATATAATAATAATAATATCTCTACTCCTCATTCTAACTACGAGAATTAGCCCAGAAGTCGGAGACTTGTGCGGGAGAGGAGGCGGCATATTATTATTACGCAGGCCGCATTTGCGCCCAGGAACGACTTATGTTGGTAGGCCCTAACCACCATTTAGTGCAAGAATGAGGGAAACCTGGAAAACCTCATTAATTAGGGGGGTGGTCAATTGCCAACCAGTGTCAATCTCTCACATTGACCCAAGCCAACATTCTTCCACCCTACCATACCTGCACGGAGGGTGCCAATCCTCCATACAAGCATAGCTAATCTACGGTCTACCGGCCGCGGAATTCGAAATCCGGGCAGATCGACACATCGATTTAAGTACTGACGCCTTAAACCGTGCTGCTATCGACCGAATGTTGGTTAGAAAAAAGGTAAAAAATTGTATAATTAGGGATATTTGAATAACTTGGCATGACTGCAAATAATAAATAAATTAAGGATATTGACTGTAACTTTTCAACCTCAAAGTGTCCTAAAGAAACCCTGATAATTTCAAAACGCTGCGATTTTGTTTTCTTAGTGCTCGGAATGTTTAAATTTAAAGTTTTTGCTGAAAATCAATGTAATAAGTAATTTTTCAGTTTTTAATTTTTTTAAATTAAAAATGTTTTTTTAGCAATAATCCATATTTTTTTCAACAAAAAACGTTCATTATTCTAAAAAATGGAAGAAACAACTTTTCAAAAATCATTTTTTTTAAATTTTTTAACATCCACAAGCTTCACAAATGTCAAAAAAAATGCAGATCGCAATTTAATATCACGTATTGTCGCCTCTGTGTCTGATCACCGATTCTAAGCGATCTCGTATATTAATGCACGGATGTCTCGTTGAGTAATTCCTTGTCAAGTTTGTAAAAGAGCCTGGGTCAATTGATGGTGATTTTGTAATTGCGGATAGTCTCGTCATTATCGCCGCCCGAGCATGTCTTCATCATGCCCAATGGGGTTCAAGTCGGGACTCATAAGTGGGTGGTTGAGAGCTACCACGTTGTTAGGTAAAGAAAATTTCTCGTACGTTTTTGCGGTATGAAGACGAGCATTATCTTGCATGAGTATGAAACGATTCCCCATGCTTATACGCATGGGCAGGACGTGTGATTCAAGGATTTCGGCAGTCAATGTTCTGGGAATTATTACCAACTGGGTTCTGGTATTAACGGATACGCCTGCCCAGGTCCTAGGCTATTTAATAAGTTACCTAACCAATTAAAATTGCTGAAAACTGAATATTTATTTAGGAAAGCTTTAAAGTAGTTTTTAATGGAAAAATGTTGTTATTCCAAATTGGAATTTTTACCAACTTGGTCTTAGTTTGACTATTCCTATACATATTATGTCTCTGAGGAAAATAAATTATTATTATTATTATTATTACCTCGGCAGCCCCCCTGTATTGTGCAAAACCATACTTATCGTATCAACTTCGACATCACGTGGGTGTTGTATAATAATGAAAACGTAATATTGACAGTTGGTAGAAGGAAGTACAAAAACAAACGCTTAGGTGGGGAATTCTGGAAGGAAGCCTAAATAGTTGAAGTGAGGAGATGGGAGTAAGACGATCGGCGGGCAGTGAGGCAAAATAGTGAAAAATCAAAGTGTTTAACCGGTATTAATTAGCAGGTAATTATTCTCTAAGTACTTTGATGTTAATTGTTCTATGTAATCTTATGATTATCACAATCATTATATATGTATATTATATATGTTTCTTGATAAAAATTCTGTGTATGTTTAGCCTTCATTGTCTTACACTCAGGAGCGTATATTTTTCTAAGATAAAATTGTTACGATTATTATTAACGATTGCTCATTATTTATTACATGTTAAAATATGTATATATATTGTCGTGACTGCCCAGATATTGCAATAACAACTCCTTTTTTCACATTTAACTTGTGTTGTCATGATTACATTGTTCGAAAAATAAATAATAAACCATTTCTTGTGCTCACTTTATGCCATACGCATATAAGAGCCCTGTTGAATTTACTAACATTTACGCCCGTGAGGAATGATTCTGCAAAAAGTATAATTAAATATAAAAAAAGAATTGCTAAAACAGATCTTCCGAAATCTCAACTCATAGCCTCATAGCTGAATTGCCTCCCGTATCGGACTCCAGTACCTTCCGGCCCTGCCGGCTAACTAACTCCAAACCTCTTCAGTTTTACTTGGAAGTGTGTATGTCTAATTCGAGTGAGGTGATATTTAGTGAGACATTAAATAAGTCGGGTGTTATTTATCATTAGCAAAGGATCTTAATTTATGCCTTTTATTGTCGGTTGTTTTGTATTTATATTGGGGTAGTTAGAGCAACGATCGTAGGTTTCTCTGCCATGCTTTTTCTCCACAGGAGCTCTAGGTGAGCCTCGCACTCTCATTTTATGTTAAATGGTTGTTAATGTTTTTGTTGTTGTTTCTATTTGTCACATGTTTAATTTGAGGACTGTTGTACGTAAATAATAAAGTTAGGTCTATTTACTCTGCTTTTGATTTATAACATTAAAACATACTTCCTCTGTTTAATGTTAGTAGCCAGCGTCTTCCGGTCAATTAAAAATAGATGTATACAACGTAGGTATTCCTTATGACGATCACATATTTTTTGGCCACAACTACGTTTATATTTTTTTCGATCGAACCCGGGGTTGTTATACTACAGTATATTTGTAAGGATATTTATACACAAAATTGAACATACATAATGCGTGGTGTAGAATTACAAAAAAGTGTACTACTAATTTTACATTACCGAATACAGCACCAAAATAACCAATGATGCAATGTGTAACTTTACATAAAATTTTTAAGTGGTATTCTTGAATAACCTTGTCATTTATATTTTTCGTTATCATTTTCAGTAACGAAGAGGGTACATCTCGTACAGTTCTCGTTTGCGAATAAAGCCGCTTTGAGCTTCCATAATAATTTAACCTAATTCGCCTTAAAAATATCATTCCTTTAAGCGGTTTGAATGCTGAAACGGGCAAGACCGTAAAAAGGGCTTATAAAACGCCTCGAGAAGTATAACTCTTTTATTGAAAATAATGTCCTTTATCTTTCATTTACTGAACTCGCGACGGTCGCAATTTTTTAAGAGCGACTTAAAATAATGATGGAGACGTAAGTTGAAAATGGGGTATTTGCTATCTCTGAGTGGTATGCACCTTTATACAAAATTAAGTCTTCTTTGTCCTTCCTCAGACAAAAGATTTTAGGAAAAAAATGTGCGAAACACCTGTGTCCAAATTTGAACTAATAAAGGCAAAATGATTAATTACAAAATGTTGCCTACCTCAGGTGGTCACTACGCATGAATTTTTTGTTGCAAACCGGACAGGCGAAGTTCTTTTCGCCCGTGTGCGTCCTCGTGTGCCTGGCCAATTCGTCTGAGCGGGCAAATCTTTTCCCACATCCGTCCCAACTACATGGGAATGGTCTTTCTCCTGCAACAAGAAAAGAAAAGTTAAAACGTGCTCCTGAGTTTATTATAATTATGGTAGACCATGTTCCCCCGCAAGTTAAGAAACTCAATAATATATTAATTATTATTCTTGGAACACCTCAAGGACCAGTTTTTGGTGCAGTAATCTTTTTGATTTACGCCGTAAAAAGTGTAGGTACATTTTCAGAAGAAAGTTTCTAACAAATGGAAGCGTTGCTGAAACTGGTATGATAAAATTATATTAAATTTGAGGTATTTCTAGACTTACGATACATACAGAGTGAAGTGGGGGTTAATCTTTTAGCGGTAATAGTTTGTGTGCACCAAAATACTAATCTGAAATTCTCTTTCTTTAATCTAATAATTAGTCGCGTTATAATTCGCTTTTCGTTGTTGTTCAGGCTGTCAGCGGGCGGCATAAACCGAGCCATCTGGAATTAGCGTGGCAAAATGTATCAGTGCACTATTAGTGTTGCCAACCTTTTTAAATCAACGGTTAGAGAGCGAAACTACGATGGAAAATAATTTAGTAAAAACAAATTGCTTTTGTATGACTCAGCGAAGTGCTACTTTAAAGTCACCATATTTGATGTCAATGTGGATGAACCTAATGTTTAAAAAAAAATAAAATTTATTAAATGTTAACTGATGACGTAGATTTGTTAGTAATTGAAAATAATTATTTTTGCTATAAAAATGATTAGTAATCTGATTAACATGAAATAATTTTATAAAAACAACTGAATATTAATCTGATATTGACTTAGTTTAGTTGAAGTATCACTACATAAAGTAGACAGGGATGCATTTAGGAAAGTTACTATTAAAAACTTAAGTAATACAATTCTAAACAAAATACGGTATGTTTTTTTTTATTTAGCCGCTTTATCAACCGTATAAATAACAACATTTAATCGTAAAAAGCCTAAGTTATGTTAACGTTTTTATTATTACTTACCAAACGTTCAACAGTACACCCTGCCCAGTTTAAATTTAAGCAGAATGCGATCCTAATCCAAACGCTTACGAAAGACAGCGGAGACTAGTCTATATGTGTTTCTGAAGGTCAAAAGTAGCCTTCGTATAAATTTACCTCCAGTTTAAAGTTATAGAATATATATTTATGTTTTTGACACCGTAAGATGTAAGAACGATGAGGGAAACGAAATTTAGCGATTTCATTGGTTTATTTTCTACCAACATCACTATTCTCTTTATCGCATCATTATACGACACAGCCTGGGGGATATTTGACTGACGGACAGTATAATTAAACGAATGTCTAATTAATAGAGTACTATATGGAGGCGTGTTGGAACGAACAGCGCTTCGCGCTAACAACCGCCGCAATATTGATGTCCGGCAGAGTAACTGGTGGGCGATCCGTCACGGTTAGGCCGAAAAAGGGGCATTAAAAGTGCAAATTTCATCTCGTCAGCGGCCGCCGCTATTTTCTGGTTAATAACGGATCCCCTAGTTTACATTGTGGCGTACAATTCAAATTGGGTCGCGACAATAAAACCATCAAGTTAATAACTGGAACCGCAGCGAGTTTATGGGAAATGTGGTTCTATTTCCGCCATAAATTCGAAACGCTCGGCGTTCGGGATGGATTCGAAATCACAATTGATGGTAAATAAACGATTTTTTAAGAAATAATGAATTTCATTCGTACCGTTATCACTGATAAACGAGAAATAAGCCCCAACCGTTTCATTTGACTGAAATTATTTATTTGTGCATAGCTTTAGTATTTTTCTATATTGAAACTTTCAAAAATAATTACCAGAAACTATGAAATTTACGTGATTTTTTAAATTAATTTTCTTGGTTTTGTTATTTTATATAAATATAGTATATAGGATATTTATTCTGGCTGGTTTACCCGATTTGAATCGTTGGGACCGTTTTTAGAAACGTTCTTTAAATATGTACATCATTTTTTTGTGTGTTAATGTTGGAAGTCTACTCTAGAATCAAGTTGAAGAATGATGATTTCATTCGTACTGTTAGTAACATGAAATTAGTAATTAAAAACTATCGACTACCAGTTCCATTTGGTGACTAATTGAATACAAATTCTTGAAAATTGAAAAAAAATCAATAATATCCACGTGTATTTTTTAAATTAACGTTCTAGACATTATTTTTTAAGTAGATGAAAGCCGACCCTGTGTTATTTATTAAAAACTTGGAAATGTTTTTATGCGACCCGAGATGCAACCTTATTATTAAAGTCGGTGTAATCTAATACCTACTAGTAATACTAAATGACGGTTAGGTTACAATGTCAAAAAATTTGTGCAGGCAACTGATTTTGTATTTGTATTGAATTCATTATTCACTTAATTATTAAATATTAAGCATCGTTCATCGACTCATCAGTGTTAAAAAGTGAAAGATTCCAGACAAAAGTTTTTATTTGTAATTCCACGATAGTGACAGTGTAATTTTTATAAAGAAGTAAAAAATAAGAATAGCGTGCCAATTACATTAAAAACGAGATTCTTATTTCTTACTTGTCTTAATTTTTTAGTTTGTGCACAAACTAGTTTTACAATGAACAGAGGAAACAATGCATTTACTATTTCCGAACGTGTCGATATGGTGTTAGTGTATGGTGCAACCGGAGAAAATGCGTTTGCGGTGACTAGGTTCTACCGGGAACGATGGCCAATGTGCAAATATAATCGTACTGTGCGTTCAGCGGCTGCGAGATACGGAAAGTGTTATTCCTCGAGGAGATGGACGTGGTTAGCAAGTTAATGTTGAAGATGAAGTGTTGGAAAATCTTGACGAAGGCCCCACAATTAGTACTCGACTACCCGCACAGCAAGTAAGAACCTCATCTCGTACCGTACATCGCATCTTAAGGCGCCAGCTGTTGCATCTCTATCATCTGCAACCAGTTCAACAGATTTTACCCCGGATGCGTTTTTGCAGATGGTTTTTACGGCAATGTGCCAATCAAGTAGACTTTCCTGCTTATGTTTGTGTAACTAATGAGGCGACATTTACCCGTGATGAAGTGAATTTCCATAATATGCACATATGGGCCGATGAAAGCCTCATGCGATTAGGGAAACTCATTTTCAACAAAGGTTATCGGTAAATGTTTGGGCTGGCATAATAAGCGATGTACTTGTGGGTCCCTATTTCTTTGAAGGACGACTAAATGCTGACTTTTTTGAGAACCGGTTGCGTGAATTATTGGACGATGTGGCATTACAAGTTCGGGCACGCATATTTTATCTTCAAGATGGGGCTCCTCCACACAATACTCGAGAAGTAACGACACTTTTGAATGAAATGTTTCCCCAGCGATGGATTGGACGCTTTGGTCCTGTGCCGTGGCCACCTCGGTCACCCAATCTAATTCCAATGGACTTTTATCTTTGGAGTCACTTGAAGTCATTGGTTTACAATACTCCAATTGCTACGGTGGAAGAATTGCGAAACCGTATACTTGAAGCTGCTGATACAATTAGGGGAATACCAGGAATTTGGGAAAATATTCGCCAAAATTGGATGCGTCGGTGCCATGCCGTTATCCGCGCTAATGGGGATCAATTTCAACATTTTCTATAGAAATGGTAAGTTTTATTTCATTTTATTCCATATTTTAATGGAGTTCGTTTAGTGCACGCAGTTGGCAACTTGCACATGTTTACGGATGTGGGTTTGTTTGCGAATTCTTGCAGTAATAATAATGCATTTAAGATAGTAATTACTACGCAAAAATATAACTTTTTCATATAATAAATACTTTTCTATTACAAATATCGTTAGGAAGCTGTAGTTTAGTTTTTATAGATTATACACGCCACACCCTGTAGATGTACAATTTATTTGTTTTTTCTGTACTTAATAGTCTTTCGTATTTATTTTATGAAATAATGTTCAACATCAGTACGTATCCTCTAACGACTACAATTTGTTTCCTACAAAGCGTTATTATCGATTCCCAGCTTAACAATTTCTTGATCTATAAAAGGAATAAATACATTCAAACGTCGAGAGTCGCGCAAATAAGAAATGTAAACATGTCTAGTGTATTCCATAGCTAGATTCCCAGAAGTAACGATCTCTTTCGATCACGTCCGTAGGAAACCTCTTTATAAACTCTCTAAAGGGACGAACCTAGTTTATAATTTCCATATATTTTATTCATAGATTTTGAAATGTATAGGCGAAATTAATTATATGTATCTGGTAGTGACAATGGCCAGTCTTATAATTTATAAATGAGGATATGAATTTGTTTTTGCTAGGAAAATTTAATTAATAGCGTTAAAATTTAATTATGTTTGAATCACGTCTGACAGACGCCACTCAATAATTTAATTACTATGTCCAATTTGCAAATTGCACGTTCGATGTAATTATATTAAAAAATGAAGCGCTCTATTATCGGAACATACACTATGTTCCCAGATAGATGAGTAGGCTCTTGGTGTTAATAAACGGCTTTTTGTCAAGTCAACGTTGCTTGTTTGTGAAACAAAATCTGACAAAATTTCAAATCCGTAGAATCTAGTAAGCCTCAGAAATTTTGAAAAATCCGAGAAACTTTTCTTGACAACATTTTGCCGTATCCTAACACTAAAAAAAAATAATCGTACCAAAAGATAATCGTTTCCCTAAATACGCTTCGAACTTATATATTTTTTAATTCATATTTACGATTTAGGCCGCTTTAAATCCCAAAAACTTATTTGAGGATAGCCTAGTACACGAAAATTACGAAAAATTACAAATATATTGAAAAAATAGTATATTAAAAATCCATCCAATAAAACACAAGAATCAAAGTCAAAGTCAAGAAATATTTATTGTGCATAGTTACAATGGCTAATTTACAAACCTATACACAAAAGGACTAGACACAGATAACTGATGATTAACCTACCCCTCAGAAAGTCAATTAACTCACACATAATAACAAGTCTACATATTGAAGCAATATAATTATAAAGAGCTATTAAAACAATGTAAAAAAAA